GTAGGACTTGTATTCATAAATCATTAACCAGTAAAATTAACCCAGTCACTATTTACGAAATATTATTTATACTAACATGTAACTAAATAGTATTTAACATGTTAATATATAGATTAATGTATTTTTAAGGAATTTTAGTTAAATGTTATTTCTCTTAATTTTTAAACGGAATTTATTAGAGTATCAAGCAAATTATTCATAGCGCATTTTAGAAGTTTTCTTTTTGTAAATAGTCGAAGTCATTTTAATCACTCTATTGTAAACATTTTATTAAGTGTAGTTAAGAAATTAAGAATAAAAAGGAAAGTTTTAAAAAGAGAAAATGATCAAACAAATAAGAAATAATAAAGAATTTAAAAGGGGAGGAAGAGAAAGAAAAGTAAGTCGTAAGACGAGCCAATATAATAAATCATTTTATTTTTATTATTATATATATATATATATATATATATATATATATATATATATATATATATATATTATATTTAGTTTTTTTCTTGAAAAAAAAAAACCACCTTGTCTTGGCCACATGTAGGAAGATCAGTACAACCAAGCATACCTGATCTATAACATCGAATAGCCCAAGTGAAATTTTGATTAGTTGCTGTTTACTAGGGGAACTTATATAATGCACGTCCAAAATTCTGGGTATGGGCCGAGTACTGATCATATTCGGTCAGGTTGCCCATCGAAGAAACTGTTGTTTATTTAGAGCCGAAACTTCCAGTGACATGGGAGCAACAACACTGACGACGCACCTAGATTCGGCACTTAAAGGTGTATTTTTAATAACTAACATGTTCACACAAATGCACACATATAATCGGAAATTTATCGCCGCCGTGAGTGGGAATACGGCGATATATAGACTGACACACCTGTTCTCATACGATCAACGATATTAAGCAAGATCCTACCTGGTCAGTAACTAGATGGGTAAACGCCTGAGAATACCAAGTATTGTAAGTTTGGATGGGCAGTTGGTGAATTTGGATAATGACTCTGAACTGAAAATCGGAAAGCCAAGTTCCAAGTCCAGTCGAGTTCGTTATATGTACTTACACTCCGTCCGACTTCACTTCTATTTGTTATATATGAAGCAATCTATCTAAGTCTACTATCCTAATAACGTGCCCTAGAAATTTTAACTATTTCTTCCTGATATTAAATATGCGTCCATTTCGTTTCCATTGTCTCTAGAATTTTATCTCTTGTCATTGATCATATGTTCCGTACATGATATTCTCCGAATCATTTGGTAGAACCACATTTCTGTTGCTTCAAGGCTCTTCTTGTTGAGATTATCTAGCATTCTCTGCTACATATTAAATAACAGTTAAGTACACTGTTCTTTGTTTCTAAAACTTTTTCTCTTTCTATAGCGAAGAAAACGGCGATTTACCTCGTCAAACCAAATGTTGACGAGAGCATGATTTCAGCAGTTCGTGTGAAGAAGCACTTGGCTGCGTTTGGTTTGATTGTCGACTAATGAGCCTGCCAATATGATACACCGTTATCAACTGAAAGTGAACGGAATTACTACTACATTACCACCTGATCGTTGTAGGTATCACGATATATACAAAGTTGGGAACAGAGTATGGGTGAAAGCTCCCCATGGCCGGTGTAACTCCAGGTATCAAGTGGGTCGCGTTATGGACATTGTAAGTTCACAAACAATAATAGTTGACTGGATGGCACGGCATGTAAAAGATATTTCGCCTTTTTGTTGATTCTGATACATCGCCGAGCGAATCCGATGATGGTTCATCGTCTGACAGTGATCGGATAATTGAGATCTGCGAATCCGATTCTTCCACAGACGCAGAGATTTCGGAAACTCGAGATACGTCTGATGATTCCTCAGGAGACGACTCTCCGTCACGCATAAGGAAAATAGTTCCATTACGACGAAGCACCAGGATAAAGAGCTGCTCCAAGCTGTTCGATTTGTGATGATGAGATCAGGGGTCCGGGTGTATAGCGAAGAAAATGGCGACTTACCCCGTCAAACTAAAGGACAACGCGTAACGTGTATCCTACGACGGAAAATGTGGCGAAAAAGAAAATTACTTACCAAAAAAAAAAATAGGCACGTATTCTGCATGACATGCTGAAGATGGAATGTTTAAATTCAAAAACAAGTCCGTCGCAGGAGTCGCTATAAAAGTATTTTGATATGCAAAAAGTTGGCGTCCTCTCCCAGCTGTCGACGAATGGAAAAATGCTCGGCGGATAAATGCAGTTGGTGTTCTCGAATCGGAGGAAAAAAGTTCGTGTATTTTGACTCCTGCGTTCGTTGGAGAGTGAGTTATTTTTCTGACTGGTTACGTGCATTGGGATTTGTGAGATAGTAGCTGCGAATCGAGTTTTCGGCATTTCTTTCTGCCCCAGATGTTCGAGTCTGAACTTACAGTGATTTATTCTCTGCGTTGTGGAAGCAATCTGCGACAAATATTTCCTTTGCAATCCCAGATCGCTTACAGTTTCTTAATACTTTGTTTAGCATTTGGAAGGTGTCTTTCATTATGCCAATTTGCAACCGGATTTCAGTGTATCACTTTCCGTGAAAAAAAATTCCCAGATATTTAAATTGTTGTAAGTTTATGATTTCAGCATCACCAATTCGCAATTTACACGTTAAGTTGTTCCATTTTTTTTTAAGCATCTCACCCTAAGCAAGGCAAGAGAGACACTAGCGCATGGGGTCACAGAGAGTGAAATGAAAGGAAAAGAATCTGTATAAGGCGAATGAGGAAAGGATAAAAGAACAACGGGGATCAAAGCAACAGAAGACGGTGATTCATGTTGTATTTAAATATTGGAAGATTGTAGTTATCAAGGAAGCAAGAAAGATGGAAAGAGTTCGACTGTCGGGGAGTGCGAGAAAAGAAACTGCTGGAATAGAAGTGGGGGTTGCATTTAACTATTTCAGCAGTAAAATGATGGGACATCAGGGAAGGTAGATCATCAGAACAGGTGTCATGAAAATATTTGTAGAAAAGACAGAGGAAAGCCACATCATGTCTGTGAGAAAGTGACGGAAGTCGAGATGCCAAACAAGGAACAAATACATTGCATTGGAATTGATGATTTGTCCTTTCTTCTCGCTTTCCTTCACGACCTTCTGTAGCAGATTTATAGTTCCCTTGCTGTGTTTCCTATCAGCAATGTGTCATCTGCATATGATATGAAGATTGTGTGCGCCAATAATGAATACTGTATAGGGTGAATAAGTTTGGTACGAAAATACAACGTTAATAATTCCAGTATCTGTCGATGAAATTTTCTTTACAAAAAGACACACACACACATACAAGAACAAACACAGAATCATCGAAATATGTAAACAAAAATGTAACACATAAACACATATCTTTCACAGTCGTGCCGTCGCCTCCCTCAGTCTTTTTTTTACAAATACTTTCACGGTAACTGCTCCGATGAGCTGCTTTCGCTGGTTCCCAGACTTCATGAATTTAGACGTTCAAACTAGGCTGGCATCTTGCTCTCACACTTTCAGTGTCGAAACTGTTAAATATAACCATCCACAAGTTCTTGCTGTAAAGAGGCCGTAAAGTTTAAACCCGGGCAGTGCTTTGAGCGTTGATTTTTCCTAATATTATATTTTATTATATTCATCTCATCTGCAGTCTCTCTCTCACAGTCGTGCCGTCACCTCCCTCTGTCTTTTTTACAAATACACTCACTGTAACCGTTCCGAGGAGTTGCATTCGTTGGCTCCCAGACTTTATGAATTTAAGCGTTCAACTAGATTGGCATCTCGCTCTCAGCCTTTCACTGTCGAAACTGTTAAATGTAGCCGTCTCTTCTGCTCCAATAGCTTCATGTCTTGCACTTCTCGCCTGTGGAACTCCCTCCCCACTTCCTGTTTCCCTGATAGCTATAATATCCAACTATTCAAATGTAATGTCAATCGACATCTGCAGTTGCCTTGAACTATCCCCTATCTTTCTCTTCATCCTTTCCTCTATCACTCCTATTTGCCCTCGCTCCAACTCTCTGTAACCTCTTGCGTGCCAGTGGCTTCCCGCCTTGCTTGCGGTGAAATGATTAAAAAAAAACAACAAACTATGAATGTAGAAATGAATGCAAACAAAAATGCGATAAAAATTGACATTATATTGTCGATCACATGGGATCGATAATCACACCAGACTGCCGGTCTCATGAGATCAATAATCACACAAAATTATTAGTCTCACTTCACTTACACATTTAACACCTAAATCATTTTGATGATATATTAAGGATATAATTGATGACAACAATAAAAACTGGGTTGGTAGGTAGTATTATCAAGATTATTTATGATGTTTTGTTTATATAAAAGTCGAACGCAAATAATATTAATAAAGGCAAAATCATAACACAGTGTATTGCAGCAAAATCCGACACTTGACAAAAAGAAAACGAAATAGACAATAAAAACAAAAGTTTTATATGCAGAGACCCGAGAGTTTATTTAGCAACAGTTAGAGTTATATACTACATTATTTTTCAATGTAACCACCGCTGGTGGCGACGACCATCTCAAGGCGGGCGCGAAATGAATCACACACTTTGGCGACTATGTCCTTGTCCATAGCGGCGAACGCTTCCACGATGGCAGCCTTCAGATAGTCGACCGTGTTGTGGGCGTGCTTGTTGGTCTTGGTCTCGATCACGCCCCAGAAAAAATAGTCAAGGGGGTTGCAGTCGGGTGAGGAGAGCGGCCACAAGTCCAGCGATCAGTGGTGAGGAACATTGTTGAGCAGCCACGCCTGGGTCATCTTGGTCTTGTGTGCAGGAGCGGAGTCCTGCTGGAAGACGTATCGGCGTCCGGCGATGATCTGGTCCATCCAGGGCTTCACTACGCTCTTCAGCACCTCCTGGTAGATCTCAGCGATGACTCAAAGGCCCTTTTGAAAGAAGAACGGAGGCATAACGTCCCACTCACTGGAGATGACGCCAATGACGATGACGGAATCTTCTCATGCTTAATGACGGGTTCCTCCTCGATGTCTTCTGCCTGTTCCTCGCCTGCTCCTGGATGAATTCTTTTCATCAGAGAAGAACCTCATCATTTCGGCGGACACGTGCTTGAGCTCGTTCAGCAACACCGCCGCCTTGACATTCCTCGACTCCTTGGAGGCATTTGTGATGAGCATGCGGTGTGACTTGTGGTAGGAGGAGTAACCAATGTCCTTCTTGATCGTTCGGCAGATCTTCGACTTGTGACAGCTCAGGTCAGCGGCGATCTTGGCGTAGACTGGCTTCCATCATTGTCCACTGTTTCGGCGGCCGAAGAACGCACGTTGTGGGCCCTTTGTTTGGCAGTAAACTCGTCCTTAAAAAGAATGCATAGTTTGAATTACACTTGAATTACACGCCTTCCACTTTCTCCAAATGTCCATGACCATGGTCCTCTTGAACCCAAACCATGTCATCACTTCCGCAGGCTTCTTTCCGACGCGAAAAGAAGCTACTACCGCTGCTCTGCGCTCATATTCCATCCTGAAAAGGGAAGAGAGAAAAACGTTAGTTAGTTGTCAAAGTGTCAGGTCTCTGCATATACAACTTTAGTTTTTATTGCCTATTTCGTTTTCTTTTTGTCAAGTGTTGGATTTTGCTGCAACTGTCTGTATTACCTCCAAAATATTCTTACAATCTAATGTTCTGGCTTTAATTAACGTGAAATATATATAATGAGAGGGAAAGAGAGACGAATATGTTTAAAATTCAAAAATATTAAGTGTAATTCAAACTATGTATCCTCTTTAATTGCTGGAGGGTAAAGCAGAGAAAATTACAGAAAATTCTTTTGAGATATGATAAGTATCAACCGAGCCTAGTTCAAATCCAGTCAGTATCGTTATATTCCCCTAGGCGCAAATCCACTTGGGAAAGGTATGAATTAACATCTTCTCCACACAGCTCTGTCTCAGTAAAGCATTTTCGTTTCAAAACATTATTATATTCTAAAATATTTTCTGGTTTAAAATAGACTACAAATTATTGATAGGCCGTATAAAAAATATTACACCCTGTTCGTGCTAAATTGTCTTCACACTCTTCTCATAATATATGGTAGAGATTTCAACTATCTCTTTTTGATTGTAAATGCATTTTTCGTTGCTATTTTTCTTCTCCTATACTCACATAGTATTATTAGCACTTGTTGGTTGAACTATATTTACTTTACTTGAAGTCTCTTCTTCAACCCTGCGGAAATTGTTCATTATTTAAAGATATAAACATATCAATGTGATGCCTTAAAATTAAAACATATTTTTGTCGTTTGTATAACTTTTTATTCAACACTTGCATCTCTCTTCGAGTGTTACACCAATTTTCGGCGTACGTAAATTGCACGTATAACCTGAATGTGATAGCTGCCTCTTCGACTAATCACTAAAGTTTTTTCTTATCTAGTGTATAAAATATAAGCGTGGAATTATTTTTTATGGTTAAATTCCCTGAAATTTTAACTTCATTTTATCACGACATAAGCGGAAATGTAATTGTATGTCTAAAAATATATTGGAATCGATGCTCTATATGCCAGTACGTACGTCTACATTTGTATGTACGCGTGTGTAAATTCATATATATATATATATATATATGTGTCTGTGTGTGTGTGTGTGTGAGAGAGAGAGAGAGAGAGAGAGAGAGAGAGAGAGATGAAACAGTAACTTTTGATATCTGAATTTTTCAACTATAATTGTTCACCTTGGCTTCTTTGGTTGTATTACTGTTGAAAGTTTTTTTTTGGTGGGGGGGGTTCGATTGATCTAACCTGATGTAGGTTTCTTTCGTAGATTAAGTCTTTAGTTTTTTTAGGTAAAATTTATTTCAATCTATTGTTTTCATGCGAAATGAAACAGGATTATTTTTTGGGTTTTTTACTTGTTTTTCGGTAACAGATCGAGTTAGACTAAAACTTACTTTAATCTTTTAATACCACTCATATAAGTGCATATTCACACGACAACACACGGATAGATAGAGACGGACGGGCAGCTAGACAAAGACAGAAACGGAGATGTAGAGAGACAAAGAGTGACAGAGAAACAGAGATGCAGATATGGAGAAACAGGCAGATGGAGACACACAGATAAACATATAGAGAGGGCTATACAGATAGATAGATAGATAGATAGATAGATAGATAGATAGATAGATAGATAGATAGATAGATAGATAGATATGAACAGATAAAAATATATAGATAGATAGATAGATAGATAGATAGATAGATAGATAGATAGATAGATAGATAGATAGTTATGGAGAGACAAACAGAGGGATTTGAAAAGACTGAGATAGATAAATAGATCGTTCGAAACAGACAGATATATTGACAGATAGTGTCAGACAGACAGATAGAGACATAGCGACAATGATAGATAGATAGATAGATAGATAGATAGATAGATAGATAGATAGATAGATAGATAGATAGATAGATACAGAACGACAGACAAGTTGAAAGAGATAGGAAGTTAATTAGAGAGACAGATACTTTAAGAGAGAGAGAGATACAGAATTATACGGACATAGAGATGCAGACAGACTGATAGATAGAGAGAGAGTAACAAAGAGAGACATATAAGTAGATAGACAGACAGACAGATAGCTAGAAAGATAGATAAAGATAGAGAAGCAGAGGGGTAGATGGATAGAGATAGACTGATATATAGAGTACGACATATAGACGCTAGAGACCGACAGACAGGTACATACAGAAAGACAGAGGTATAGATAGATAGATAGATAGATAGATAGATAGATAGATAGATAGATAGATAGATAGAAACTGATAATCATAGATATATCGAGGCAGATAGACATATTGAGACAGACAGGAACAGACAGAAAAACAGACAGAGACGCACAGACTTTTAGATATAGGTAGATATGAACATACAAACAGTCATATATATGTATGTGTGTGTGTGTGTGCGCGCACGCTCGCGCGTGCGCGTGCAAATATATAAAAAAATAGAAAAAAAAACACGTTAGGTTAATAATCCGAAGTTCTTTAGTATTTTTGTTTTCATTAAAAAAAAAAAAACAGTGCTCAATAAATTGTTGATTATTTTTTAATATATGATTTCATCGTTAGACAAGAAAATTCGCTTGAAGATAAAACAGAGATTGATATTTAATTCAATTTACTTTTTATAATTAAATTGAAGTTTTTAGCTCCTGTTTTTGAAACATGAGAACTGTTATGTATCGATGGAATCATATTTTTTTAAATAATTATATCATATATATGTATATATATATATGATTTAGTAATAAAAGATTTTATCTAAAATATTTGTGAAATATCTCTTCATTTTCCGTTTCTGGAAATTTTCTGTATAAGGAAAAAAAATTATATTTTCTAAAGATAAAAGGAAAGAAATAAGAAATCAATAAAAGGCAAAGGAAAGAAAGGCAAAAATAGAGAGGAGTATATTCAAAATTGTACAGATAGATAGGAAAAAGAAAGTTAAGAAAATAACATAAGAAGATGTTGATACGAGTTAAGCCAATGAAATTATACTGAAAAAAAGAATTCAAATTCGAATGGAAATGAAACGAGAACAGACATTAACACATCGGCTACAATGTCGCTTTTCAAATTTTAAGGCATTTTAAATGAAATCATATATTCTTACAAAATTATCCATAAAACGTAGATAAAAAAAAACTTTAAGAAACATTACTATACTTAACAAAGCCAACCTTACATTAAAAATAAAATACAAATTAAATTTTAAACTTTTTTTATTTTTTTACATTAATTTTAAATTAAAAGCTATTATCAATAGAGCAAGAAAAAATAAAAATGATAAACCAATCACTGGCTAAGCAAACTACCAGTAATTTAAGAATACTAACCAATATAATACCTAAAGCTATAATAAACCACTAATGATATAACAAAAGAGATGTGATTATTTAGTTATGGAATTTAGCAAGATTCTAAGGTTAATTCCTTAATATATGTAAAATTTACTGTAGTTTCTTATCTTTGATTTAATATGTCACTATTCAAGAACTTATTTCCATTTTCTCCTGCAGATGAGGAATCGCAGTTTGTGCACCGATCTGGAGATTCTAGCTTGTTTTGAGAATTTTCCATTTAAGTTTTTTATCCTCTTTCAGTTCCCCAAAAATATTACTTAAAAATCATCGTAGCTACTTTTAACATTTAGTCGAAATTAAAGCCAGCATTGATGACTCCTAAGCAACTCACAGAAGTAACCAACAATTGTACAGGGATAGAGTATATGGTTGTCAGAAAGAGACACTGTTCTCGACGGGAGCTATGTTTTGTAAATGTCAATATCAAGGAAGTACAATTGATGTGGAAAATATTTTAACAAAAGATTGAAAATCTGACTCCGAACACATTAGGCGTATTAGAATAGTAGAAATGCATTCCTATAAATACGGTAAAGTTAAGTAAAGAGTACTGAATTTACATGTAATATCAATCCTTCTATATTCCAGGACAGTTTCCTCAGAGAAGAAAAGATTTGAGGCAACAGAAAAGTAGGTCTACAGTAGGATGCTGAGAATGCTGTGGATGGAGCATATGAGCAATGAGGATGTTTTAAGGAAAACTCTAACAAAAAGGATACACATACATAGAACCAGAAAGAAACATTTGAAATTTCTAGGACGTATTATGAAGTAAGATTTATTAGAAAAGTTGGCATATTAGCACAATGAAAGCCAGAGGGATAAACTGACACAGTGAGTAAACTAAATAATGGGCTTTTGGAAACAGAAGATGAGGGGTGAAAAGCACAGAGGAAAAACAGGTACAAACCATGGGAGTGCTTTAAGAACTAGTTTTGCTTGAGGGAAGGCGGCATATATAATGAGATGAATGAGGTTTGATTTCACGACAGAATACAAATGGCTATAAGATTAGCTTACTGAACATTATCACTCCGGGAGTCTAAAATACAAATCTAATTTCATCTTTGGTACAAGGCCTATAGAAAAGGGTGCCTAGTGGAAATTATAAGCACTGATCAATAGTAATGGTAAAAAGACTAGCTCTCTAGAAATCATCCGTCTACGAGCTGCCCATGCGGCACAAAGTTACTTAATATTCAATTTGTTATGTTTCTGGGCAAACTTTCAAATGGAAAAGTAATTAAAGTACAAAACAAAAACAGCTCTCAATAATTTATCCGGTAGAGACTTTATAATTAAATCAGTTTAAATGAAAAAAATTTAAAAAAAAAACAAAACATACGCAAAGCAATGTGACCGCATAATTAAGAAAAATATATTAAACGTATGTGACACCCATTTGTTAAAATCTGTTTTAATCATTTCATCTCCAGCAAGACAATGAAACCACAAAGACACATGTGGTTACTGCTTATGAAAGAATAAGGTAAAAAATATTATTAAGGAGAAAGAACAATAAAATAACTAGAATTAACGATTGGCATTACACATTATTTACATTATTAGGACTATTGTCCTAATCTTTGTCGCCATATTAATTACAAAGTTTCAGCCGTTGTACGCTCCGGCCTCCTTCAGGTAGTTGGAATTATTTCGCTCACTAGAGTAGACTCTTCTAGTTCCACGTGCCATGTCTAATAGACGTCAGTTATCAGTTATCTCCTGTTAATTCCCATCTCCAAGTTCTCTATTGCCTTAACTGGCTATTGAACTCACACTCTTTGGGTCCTATTACTGGCTCTAACCAACGCCTGTATCCACTGTGCCATGTGTCCTTGAGGAGTTAGATCCAGTGAGAGGACCCAAAGAGTGTGAGTTCAATACCCGGTTAAGGCAGTGGAGAACATTCAGAGCGAAAATTAACAGGAGATAACTGATAACTTACATCCACAAACATGGCACCTGGAACTAGAACAGTCTACTACAGTGAGCGAAATAAAGGGTTCAGTTCGACATTCCAACCACCTAAAGAAGGCCGGAGAATACAACGGCCGAAACGTTGTAATAAATATGGCGAGAAAGCTGAGGGCAATAGTCCGAATAATGTAAATAATGTACATAATACCTCATCTCAGATATATAGACAGATATTGATTGGTATTGCATTTAAATTTTTGAAGGTCAAACTTGACTGGAAAGCAAGAGGTTTGAAGAGAATTCTACACGATGAGAAATGCGAGACAAAGAATATTTAGCATAACTTACGGTTACATTTATCCATTTCATCTGTAAAATGATGTGACCTAGCAGCCAATCTAGTACTGCGCTTAAATTTGTAAAATCAATGTACTAAAGAGGAATGCTCATAAGAACAATTACTAATATCTCCATTAACTGATGCAATGTTTCTTTATGTACTGCTAATTTAATGGTTGTAGAAAGTTGTTGAGTTATTTTAATAAGAATGGACCATTTGTAGATGCCTGTTATTAACATGACCACACGATTTATATTTAACGTAAAATACCACAAAAAATGAAACAACAAGAAGGAATAAAAACTGTTTTTATAACGACAAACATTTACATTTATTTTTGTGTGTACATGCAAGGGATTTTGTGTTATGTCCCTTTGACTGAATTAATGAGATTGAAATATTTTTTGGCTGAGCTCACAAAAGTTGAATGAATTATAAAGCTGAGAAATGCTGAATAAACTGTAGCTTTAGAAAAGTATTTCAAAGAAAAAAGTTCTTGTTGCTTGTTTGGAAATGCTTGTATGTTTGTTATGTAGTTTGGAAAATTTCGTACGTACGTGAATGCATGAATATGCTTTTAACGTCTGACCGCACATCGTTAGGACCAGAATCCTTAAGAATAGATCTTGTAGCGAGAAGAGAAAGAGAGAGCAGCAAGTTCGTGTCTGCTTTTCATAATTAATGTAATCACGTGACAGGATCGCATTAAATTGGCGGGAAACTTAACTTGGTCATGCGCTGGGAAAATATTTGTACGTAGGTGGATTGCGACGCCCACTTTGTGTGTTTATTGACCAAGCAGAAGTTGAGATTTCCTGAAAATATTTACTAAGCTGAGTAGGCTCTCCGATCTACTTTTTGCACAAATATGTACAAAATTCAACATTGATAAGAAAGTGGTAGCGCGATGCTAAAAAGGAATGCAGTTCGTCTGAATTTATAGAAAAGGCACAGAGAAGCTACGTTATGACGATGGCATACTGACTAAATCCAGTAATATTAGCGGTTCTTCTTTGAGCTTTATCAAGAATTTCTAAATACAGAACAGAAAACCCAGACCAAATGTAACAGCAATACTCAAAATAAAGAATTTGAATTCCACAGACAAATCCTGGTAAACATGTCCAATATTTGCTAGTCATGAGGTAAAGAGATTCAGGCTAATATTGAAATATTTTTATCTTCTTTGTTTAAAGAAGAAACTCATGAATATTCAAATCGGCATTATAATGTCTATTGATATTTTCTGTACATCTTTAAAGAAAGAATTCATTGATTAACAAGAGAAGTTAACGGATACGAAAGTTTAACTCCTATCAATCAAATGGAAATAAAGAATTCATGAATTTATCTGCTGTTTAAATGTCAGTAGTGAGTAAACGGTTTAAAAATCGAAGCGTACATTTTAAGGATTTACTTTTTTTCTATTTTAACACTTATTTCCAGATACCCCATTAAAGTTCAAACGTGAAAACCTTTTTAATAATGTTCTGTTCATTTTTTATAAAGACACACTTTGATTCACAGAGTTGGCTATTTTCTGAATTAATGATTATTAGAAAATAAACTATTTTTTTAAAATAATTTCCACAAATAAATAAAAGAAAAAATAGGAAGTTTTTCTTTACGAACGCGTT